CGGGTCGGTCAGGACTGGCCTGTATCGCCTTGAATAAGAAAAATAAGTGCCGAAATTGAAAACCAGTCTCAAGCCGATAGGAACCCAGATGCGGTCAGTTTCATTCAACCGAGTCCATCCGAGCATTGGGGAAGGGAGATGCGACCAGACTACTAGTATATGGCAAATATAGAAGGCTTTGTCCAGACTGCCGAAGGAGCGCATTCTGTAAGGGCACGATGACAACCAGTCTCGAATTGAAAACCAGTCTCGAGGCGATAGGAATCCAGATGTGATCGGTTACATTCAGCCGAATCCAGCCGAGGAGGGGACAAGGGAGATGTGACCAGACTACCAGTATATGTCGAATGCAGAAGGTTTCGCCAAGAGCGTCGATAGAGCGCATTCTGTGAGCAGCACGATACATAAACTGAAAAATCGAAAAATTATAATTTCTGATGAGGGATCCTAGGAAGCGATACGACTCACTGAGGAAGGAAATGTGAGCAGATACGGAACTTTAATGGCGGCGTCCTAAATTCCCGGTGGCCCTTTCTCAGTATCATAGAGAAAGTTGTCCGGGAAGGATGAGGAAAATAAAAGTTTGATCGAGTCAGTATTCAGATAAAGGCGTAGCCTTCTCTTAAATGTGTAAAGATTATCTGAAGATCTTATATTTATTGGAAGGTTATTCCAGAGGAAAGTATATCTGGAAGCGAAAAAAGAGAGCGCTTAGATGTGGAGGAAGCTGGTGGAGGACGAGTTGCGAAGATTGTATGGGCGACTACTAGGGGGAAGTGCTGAAATCCGAGGAAGATTTGAACTATTATTAATGCGAAAGAAGAGACAGAAGCCAGTTTCTAGTCTTCGAACCCATAAAAATTTTATGTTAGTTAGCCGGCATCTGTCTGAGCAGAAGATATGTGGATGTTCCCTGTCTAAAAGTTTTTTTACCATGCTTGACCGCTCCACATCATTCAACTACTTTCTACCAGTAAATATATATATATACGCTCAAGTACTCAGGAAATCCCGAGGCTCCAAAAAAACTAGAATTCTGTATCGCGTAGTAGACAGCAGTCAATTGGGTTAGATTCAGCACGGATTCCTTAGAGTTTGGTCCTCTGACACCTGATTGGGTTTTCCAGCCTAAAGACGAGGTCCTGACCATTAACACCGTTTTCTCTTAGTTCGTTAAGACTGCTTGTCATATTGAGCATTTTCTCCTCTCCTAATGCGCTCATCTTTCGAAAAAAGGGAGAACCTCGACTTTATTTTCCCTTGTTTGATCTCTCTACACAGCGCGTTAATAGTTACAACATTATCTACAACCCCACATGCGTGAGTAGTCGATTTATTCGAGGTTGTTGACTTGGCTCTCTCATGTTCTGCCTTTTTATCAGTGATGTATCAGACTTACTATATACTGATAGGCCTTTTATGTATGCTGACGACTTGATATTTGCCTGTCAGTACGGGCCACCAGATTGCGGTATCGTGCTCGAACACATATAAAACAGCCTACGCACTTTCTCAATGGTGTCGCATGTGACATCTTTCCCTTTCTTGGTACGAGTGTCCAGTAAAGGTTGGTGTGGATGTGAATCGACCCTATCTGGGCACTGTGTGCCGGTACATTAATGTGTATAAAGTTGTTGATTGCCTGGATATGTCCTGCTATAAGAGTCTTCCAGGCACCGCGCGTTGACTGTCTCCGAGGCGCTTAGAAAGACTGGATTTACTCAGTATCCAAACTGTAAGACTGGCGCTAATCAAACTCGTTCCCAAAAATCACACGGTAAACCTAGAATAAGATACAGTTCGTTTTTATTTAGCCTTCTAAAGGGCTGGTGGACAGAAGATAGTTCAGTCTGTCCAGCATCTTTTTCAAGAAATAATTTCAGCCCCGGGTTACCGAAACCTAACCTACCAAGCACGCCGTAAACTCATAAAACATGGACGTTTGAGGATTCAAGACAGTTTTTCATTGCTTAAAACACTGAATTACCATGCATTTAATTTGCCTGCTACTTTGAACAATCGCGACCGCCTTCTGGCATGGGCGGTTCAAGATCGTCTGTTATTTTGCTTAGCGTAATTGATGCCTTATTGAGTTACTTGGGAGGGAAAAACTCTGCAAAATTATCACGTGGTTAAAAACTGTCACCCATTTTCAGCACTCAGAGCAAGTGCCACCTATCTGAGGCGTTAAATCTATTGAGTAATGCTCCGTTATGACGGATTTCCTAGACTTTAGCTTCGACGCCTGGTCTTATTCCGAGGAGGGCACTACTGACTCTGCAGTCGGTCACCCAGCCTATAAACTTGTCAGCCAACGGCGAGCAACTGTTCTCCCCTCCGTTCTTTTGTCAAATCCAGAGTTTCTATACTATGGAAAAATGGAGTTCGCTAAATACCACAGTTGTAGAGACTAACCACTATTGTTCTCGGCCGCCGTCCTTTCGTGGACAGCAGCTTATTCTCCTGCATTATTCCAACTGTCCAATATAGCATTTTAGCCCTAAAACCTAAGTACGTTTCTGTCGCCACATCAGGAATTTATTCCCTGCCTGTTCGATCCACACTGTACAAATGTTAATATATTGCCTATAAACTGAAAGACGCGGCGGTGGTTGCCTTCTTTACATCAGACCCTCACTTGCACGGTCGCCTTACGACCTGAACATTTCCTATTTCGCCGGAAATTTATGTTTCGCTTCGGTAAACCTTCGCAGAATAGGAAAGCCTTAGTCGTATATGTATGTAATCCTCCTTGTTACTCCTGAAATGAAAGCCAACTCTGTGAACTCTTTGAAAAAATTGCAGAGAATTCTTTCGATGTCAAGCTCATCGTGGGCGATTTTAATTTTCCAGAAGTTGACTGGCACACACATACTTCCTCTCCTAAATCCCAGAAGCTTCTAGACAGCATTCAATTGTCAAATTTGTCTCAATTAGTCCACCCTTCGATCAGAAACCATATTGTATTAGACTTAGTTTTTACTAATGACACCTTTCCTCTATCTATGGATTTCTATCATGATTTCTATCACAAAGCTACAGAAGCAGCTCAAAGATCCTTCTGTAGGCTCATTATCAGTTCATCTAGGAATCGTCAAAATATTTAAATTAGCCCTGAAAAGGAGGCTTGTGCGAGATAGGCGTAGAGAGTCTTTAGCTATTAATGGCATGAATGCTTCTTAATCATTTTCTCACATCTTCCGTCAAAGATCATCTGCTAAATCTCACCACGTCATTCCGCCTTTGCTTAGTACGAACGATACCTCCATTACAAAGGAGTCAGGCAAAGCAGAAATGTTAAAGTCATTCTTTGCCAAACATTTCACCATTGAAACTGACAAAATCCCCTTAATTCCTCCGTTGTCTGACGCCTCTCCCAGCAGCATTAATTTTTTTCCTGAAAGTATTCAAAAACTGATAAACCATCTTCCCAACTCGCACTCAGTAGGTACGGACAAAATTCAAACTCTCTAATAAAACAGTTAAGAGATTTTCCTCCTCTGCTTAGTAAACTCTTCTCAGTATTTGTCATAAATGGCTTCTTTCCTTACCATTGGAAAACTTCTATTATTATTCCAGTATTTAAGTCCGACTGTCGTTTTGACGTTCAGAACTATCGCGGAGTCCATAAAACACCTTTTCCCGCCAAAATCTTTGAAAAAATTACCGCCTTGAAAATTACCGACTTTTGCAGAGCCAATCAAGCTATTAGCCCTTCCCAACATGGTTGACGAAAACATTTCATATCGAGCGTCCAGTGGTGCGTCACATATGAGACAAAATCAGGAAACAAAGCTAATGGCTGGTTGCATATAGTCCTACAGTTAGAACTGTCGACTAGCAAAAACCGAAAAATTTAATTGCCTTTTGGATACAATCATGGTATCAGAAGCCACTGGTTCGTTCGAAAATGAGTTCCATGATGGGACTACCCGCTGACTGAAAAAACCTCCGTCATTCTAAACGATTACATTCGTGTTCAACTTTGTACGAATGACAGTGCAGGTATATTATGATTGTCAACTAAATAAATCTTCAGAGTTAAGCGACCAAACATGTTTGGAGCTAGTGAGGAAAGTCACAGCAGGTTGCAACTCATTTATCTATATGAAAAGGGAGACAAATTAATCTTGATCGGTCTTTCTGGGTATGAAAAGACAATTCATCGTTCGATTAGATTCATAATCTATCAGTATGCAGTCTCCTAAATGACACCCTAAATACCATGGAAACTGCATGTGTTTACTCGAGTGTGGTCGACGAATGCTTCGCTATCTGTTATCAGACCTTGGAGAGGGTAGATTTCAGCACTGACGAGGTAGAGTTATAAAAAACATATTGACCGATCGCTCATATCAATACGACACTCTAGAGTATAACGTAGCTCTACATCTTTCATTGCACCTACCATCAGTTTGCAGTCCGTTGCTGTCCGTTGCCAGGCCCACATATTATTTTTCAGTGATAAGCGTTTATTGTGTAAATTTACGTAAGTGAATTAAAATAAGGCAGTATGTTTGCTCGTTGTATTTTAGCCTTTTACTTTTGCTTCACTTCTCTTCTAATTTCCTCCATCTTCAACAATCCAAGTAACTTTGTTGAAAACAGCCTTGCCCCCCTACGCTCCCTTTCTAGATTTCTAACCGGTACTCCTCAGTTCAACTCTGCTATCATATCCCCGGATATTTTGGCGTTAAGATGCCAGCGCAATGATCTGCCAAGGATTTTCGGTGGCCTTGAGTTCAATTTTAAGTTTAGAGGGCTTCTGCTCGTTCTACTGATCTGTCGGTGACCTTCTTAATATGTTTTCTGGTTGCATTTTAGGGTACTCGCGTGTTTGGTGCACAAGTCGAATTCTAGTTGTTAGGCCTTGTTCCTGCTAAATATACCCTTTATTACTCACTTCTGCGACCACTATGCTTGGTTTTCTCGTCTGCTTTTAATGCAGGCGGATGCATGATAGAGCTATCCATCATTGGACAGAAGAAGTGCCATATCATATGGAAAAGGGCGGTGACGTTTGTCACCCCCATCAAAGGGATGTTCTCCTCCTCCTCTTGCTTGGTCTTCCTGGAGCTGGAAAATCCAGTTGTGCGCGGCGTTTCACTGCGAGACTGGATGTCTTTAATTACCTCATTGTTGTGTTTGACGACAACTTGCTCTTTGAATTTGAGTCATCGCACAGATCGCAGGTACGGTTTCAGCCCCATTTTAAGTAACTCCACCATTAGTGGAAAGAGAGACGTGGTGAGATTCTCTGCAGTGTTCGACACTTGATAGAAGCTTGGAACACAGATCAGTTCAACTCAACCTGTGCGCACCTTACTATTCAAAAACCAAGTCAATTTAAAGCTGGCCTTCCGCTAGTCTGTGTCCTCGATGACAACTTTTATTACAGAAGTATGCGGAAGGATTATTTTCGTCTTTCCAGGAACCGTTAGTTTGGCTTATGTGGAAGACCACCTGCAATCTAGAGAAGTGTAGGTTCGCCACGGTCAGCCTTAATCTCCCACTGGACGTATGCAAGGAGAGAAATTCCCACAGAGATTGTCCCGTGCCAGATTCTGTACTCACCAGGATGCATAGTCGTTTCGAATGGCCCGATGAAAATGCTCACCCATGGGAACGAAATAACCTTGAGATCACGTCGCCCGATCCGGAGTAGCAACTTGGGTTTTGGTAACAGCTTATTTTAGTTTGGATGCAATAGAGTCGTTTCTGTGGCGTGTCTACACAACTCCCGTCATCTACCTTGATCTCAATCAGATTGCCTTGGAGCGTCAAAGGGATCGTGAAATCAATGAAGCCAGTGAGACCCATCGCCTCGATACTGTTTTACGGGCGCTCGTAAGGAACTGCATCCTCTCGCTTCGTAAGTATCGCCTTTTCTTACGCCTGTGGCTCTCCCGTAAGCTTTAGAACTCCAGGCACGTTACGGGAAGTCCCTCAATGAAGTGAGGAAAGTAACTATGCTGCAGTTGAAACCCCTGGTAGACCAGCACATCAACGATGACACATTCAGCCTTTGGATTCTTGGCGTCTTTAAAGAGAACATTCAGAAGGAAATACCTTCCATCCAGATGTGTTTTGACTAACTTTAATTGTTGTTATATTTAATTATAGTTCTCAGCTCACTTTTTCATTTTCTCTACAGCAAATGGCACTCCACCTCGTGTGGATACTGCTATCATCGGAATTCTTATTTTGGTATTAGGATCCGTCGGGCACTAGAGGTGTGTCGTCATGTGTCCCGTAAGTTGCTTAGAGTTGTTGTATTTTGGACTTGGGTTTAGGAGTGGGTTCCGCCCTAGACTTTTTCTGTGTATCACCCTATAGCTGAAACACCACCTCTAAAATCCTGATACCATCTTAAGAAGCTATTTTTCGGCAAGCGATATTGCGATGCTCGGTTAGAATGACCATGTCGCGTCCAAATTTATAGCCTCCGGGTGACCCCTCCTGCTGTTTCACCACTACTGTTGCGTTCTAGCCCTCACCGAGGGGGTCTTCGTTTAACATGAACTTGGCCATCGGGACTTTTCTTTCATTGCCTCGTTTGCTTCAGAGTCAATGCGGTACACTTCCTTCCTGAATATGTTTAGTGGTTATTTCAGAGCCTGCTAGATAACAGGAAATAGTCATCGGGTTCACGTACATTAATGCGTTCTTTCGCATCAGGAGCAGGGGTTTATTCTGGAGACGCAGTACATGAGTTCGACAGAGTTGGTTGCCTTTTCGAGACCTTTTCACCCATATGGAGCTTGTCTATTTTGGGAAGCCCATATATCGGTGTTCGCCCGTTCCTGATTCAATATGTATCCAATCTGCAGCGACGGAGAATGACGGATGTTGGGGGACGGATGAGCACGTTGATGTGACGGTTGACAGAGCAGTCGGTGGACATTCAGTCTTCTTGTACCTGTCTCGTTTTTGATCGTTGACTCCATCCACAACCCCGAATTCGTTACAGCTAAAGATGTGTCCAATCTTTGCACGGCCAACTGATGCACATGCGTTCACGTTTGCAGCCATCGGTGGTCACAGTCGGACTGAGTGAGTGAATGGTGCTATTCGATGTCGCCTAACTCTTCACGTCCACACCACAGGCCCTCGCAGTCGACGCACTCAGTGGCCTGTTAGGTCAAAATTGACAGTTCGACCGTCCGCCGTATGCTCCGCAGCAGTGGCCGCATGACTTGCGCGATATGGTTTACAGTAGACTCGCGCCGAATCTGCCGCACTCTCTCCCCCCTCAGCCATCTTGGCCCAGTGTCGAGACAAAGTCAATAAGGCCGGAGGCGAGATCAAGCACAGTGCTAGCAAGCTAGGCAGCCCATCTGCGCGTGCCACGCACGCCTGTTTCGCGCTCGGTGGCTCAAGGCTTCACATAAATAAGGAGGGGACGGCTCGGATCCGAACAGAATAAGTGCCGCAGAGTTCAAATTTAGAAAGGAGCCATTACAACTTAATTCTCCGTCCTGAGAGGTGGGCGGAGTTATCCTGCAATTGACAGCCTTCCAAACCACAACTATTAGCGCTTTGTGATAGTTTCAAAGCGCGTCGGATTGTTAATAATGAGGACTAATAGTTGAGTGCCGTAGGGACGGAATTCCTAGTATCGACTTCTCTCCCTGTCTCAGTTACCAGTTTACTGTCCGGAGCGATGACAAGCTCACGGTTGAGGATCTCTCTGAACTCATGGAGCTCTAATGCTAGACATCAATTACCTAATAAGGGGTTACGTACAAACAAAAGAAGAGCACCTCGGTGGGCTCAACAATCTCTGGGATGATTCTGTTAAAACTAAAGAGGCGACTGCTCTTGAAATGCAAACGCACATTTTTGACGCGCTACGCTGGCGACACCTTCATTATCATCGACCGGGACATGACCAGTCATTGTAAATAACGACTAAACTCGACCGTTCCCGACCTACGGTTCACGGTCGAAAAGGAATCGAAGAACCTCAGTTCTTAGATGTTCTCGTCTGCCGCCAATCGAGATGGCAAGCTGGCGATGACAGTGTGTGTAAAACCGACGAAAGTTCTCAGTCACAACCGCCTGCTGTAACGGCTAAACTATCTACGCATGTTACGTCGCGGGTGGAAGCTCATTACAATACGCCAGCTGCCAAACGAGGCGAGAGGAAACTCCTTCATGAACTCTTCAGAGCCAACGGTTGTCCCCGAGCATTTTTTGAGAGAGGCCGAATGCCACTAAGGGAACTAAATGAAGGGTGTATTTAGCTCAACTCATGCCGGAGCATTCCGTCCATGAAGGGGCAACCGAACCTGTAGCTATATCCCTGACACTTCTTGGAATAGAAGTTGCTCGCATGCCTGCCTCAACGGTCCTCCGGCAAGTCATACGACAAAAAGACCCCATCCCTTTGCGAAGAAGTCGGTCATTGTCTATCGACTTCAGTGCAGATGTGGGGCGGGTAAACACGAAAGCATGAGCATCAACAAAGACGGAGGCGACACAGATCACGACGAAACGGAGGTCGGATTTAGCTCCGCAGTCGGTATTGGCAGGCTACGCGTCAAGAAAAATGTGCCATATAAAACATCTCCAGACTCTCCGGTCTTAAAACGTCAGACCTGAAATAAGACTCCTATTCTTTCGACATGCCATCTGGGGATTGCATTTTCTAGCCGAGAGAGAGCCCTAGGGCACAACGGAACGAGTGAGTTCTGTAACACGATGGATGAGCGCCCCAGTACTAGACATGTTTATATTGTAGATCAAAGGTGGTATGCATTCCATGCTGACATGAAAAAGACAAGCGGTTCTTAGGAGAATCTATTTGTACTCGTGATTTTTTTGGCTGGTGAAACCAACCCGTCGTCAGATGAAATGAAACCAAGAGAGAACGTTAGATTGCCACATCAGACCAGTTAGTGCTACAGGACAGGTAGACCACTGGCGTGTGAAAGGGGTGGTCACGAAGACGTGGTGGGTTTCTGAGTGAGGCAAGAGGGGAGGGGAGAGGGGGCGGAACAATTACAGCACCCTGTGCTGGAGGAGGAGGAGGAGGAGGAGGGTGGATCAGTTGGACTACGGGCAGCTGAATTCGCGGTTAGGGCAGAGGTCAGTCAGCCGTGAACGTAGAACCTCGTAATGGGCATCCAAGCCAACATGGAGGTTGATACTACTCGCCTTGGAGTATCAAGCCTCGAGAAATTGCCTCGTTCACTTTGTGTTAGCCATGACGACGACCTCAGTGCCTTCCCAATTGAATCGGTGGTCGCACTCGAGTGCATGGCCAAAGACGAGGGAATGGAGGTCTAGCCGACGGATAGCTAGTTTGTGTTCGTTAATACGGGTGCCCAGGCGTCGACCCGTATGACCAACATACGCAGGAGTAATCTGCGCGCGGGATGCGACAAATTACATTTGTTTGCTGCTCTTTGGAGGTCGGATCCTTGGCTCGAGACAGTGCTGCGCGCAGCGGGGAGGCTGGCTTGTGTGCAATGCGGACACCAAATCACTTTAGCTGCAGGGCAATCATTTTTGAGGACCCTTGCATACATGGCAGGGGAGAGAATTCCTGTGCCACGATTTCTCCATTTGCGGTGGGGCCTCGGATTTGAGCCTGGCGCCAGAGGAAGTTCGTCACAATACTGATCGGGTATTCGTCAGATCGAAACGACCGACACAGAAAAACTAGTTCTTCCTTCAGGAGACCGTCATTGCTGCAGTGGCAGTAGGCCCGATGGAACACAGTTCGGACGCAGCTCTTTTGTGAGCAGCAGGTGATTGCTCCCATAATTGAGGATAATCTCAGAACCAGATCCTTTTCTATGGACGCTTGTTTCGAGACTACCATCGTCCAGCCTTTGTATTTTCACGTCCAGAAACGGCAAGCTGTCTCCAACTGCCTCTTCACGGGCAAACTGTACGGTTGGGAGGACGTCATACAGCCTTTGATGCAGCCGCTCGACTTCACAGTTGTTTATTATGACAAAGGTGTCATCTACGTGGCGGAGCCACATTTTGGGCTTGAGAGTTTGAAAAACATCGTTTTCTATTCGCCTCAACACTAGTTCGGTGAGGAGTCCTTATAGTGGCGAGCACATCTGGATTACCTATATCTGTAGGTATTACTTATTGTCGAATTGGCAATGGTCCTTAAGGCGAAGTTTGAGCAGTTCTATAGCAAGCTGCGTATTCGGGGGTGTGCAGCAAAGAATAAACACCGCAGCCAGAGATGTGAGATTGAAGAAGAGACTTGATCTCCAAAAGAAACACCAATTACTTCTTCTCCCTAAGAACGAAAGGAGTATGGCCACGAGAGTTGTAGACCTTTCGAAGAGGATTCTCTTACCTGCCGAAATCAGCCTTCTATCCAAAGGGATAGGATTTAATCATACAGATGCCACGCCTACCAACTTCCCAGCTGGCCTAGAGTCAGTTCTAATGGCCTCAACCCTTCCAGAAGACAGGCGCACAGACATACGCAGCTGTGCCACTGGTATCATTCGGCAAAAAAGACGCCAAAGAACCCTACCGCCCGATGAAGTGCAAGGATTACAATCACTAAAATCGTGCCACAATATTGTTGTTGTTCCCGCTGACAAGGGTGGTGCTACTGTCATCATGGACAGAATGGACTACGTCAAAAAAGCGAATGGAATCTTCAATGACATAGCGGCCTACACTTCCTGCCGAAGACTCGACGAAAAAGCAAGCCGCTGCTATCAAGAAAAAGGTTAATGAGCTCGCTCGTCTGAAAGTTATAAGTCCAGATGATTCCAAGTTGATGACCCTCAGTGATACCCATATCGCACGCGCGTATGGTCTACGACAAGTGCATAAAGGGGATGCGCCACTAAGGATTATTGTACCTTTCATCGGATCACCTACTTACAATATAGCTAAGTGGTTGTACAGGCATCTGAAGCAGCTAACCCATGGATTTGACTACAGCATAAATAATTCTCGCGCGTTCCTCCAAAGGATCCAAGGCCTCGAAGTAAGTGCTGATGAATGCCTCCTGTCTTTTGACGTCGTTGCTTTATTTTCCTCCATAACGCACAATTTGGC